ATTTTTCTCATAAAAGCATAAGGCATACAAAATTTAAAAACCCCAATTCCTATATAACTTTACTCGGAAAAAATATAAATTACGCATAAATTCTAATTTAAAAAGATTACGGATCAAAACTACAAAACATTTAAAACCCAAAACAATCCATAATCTAACTAAATCAAAACTGGGTATACTTAATAAACAAAGTGAAGGAAACCAATTTCCAGCACAAAATTATAAAAAAGCGATCCCTCGTTTTAACAGCGGGGAAGGTCAGTTTGCCCAAAGATGCCTGCTGAAAACATTCATTTTCTCATAATCCCTCATTGGAAATTGGTTTCATAAGCCTCACCCAAAACAATCCATAACCAAACTAACTAAAATCAAAACTGGATATACTTAACAAACAAGGTGAACGAAATCAATTTCCAGCACAAAATTATAAGAAAGTAATACTTAGTTTTAACAGCAGCAAAGATGGGTTTGCTAGAAGATGTCCGCTTAACACATTCAGTTTCTCACAATCCTGCTCTGGAAATCGGTTTCGTCCACCTCACCCAAATAGGAATTTTTTAAATCTACATATATATACATATATAACATTTTACCATAAAATTTTAAGTTGTCAAGACATACAAAAGAATTAAATCTAACCAAACTCACTTTTGACTAGATGCAGACTTAAAAAACAAAAAGAATGTCTTGACATATGGTATGTAACTGTCACCAACCAAGAAAGGTTTCTCAGACATATAATCGAGTCTAACGTCATAAATATTAATTATTACACGGAATACATCATTAAACTTTTGTAATATTGTAAGAAATTAAAGAGTTTTTTTTCTCAAGTGATGTGTTGGCATGACATGATAGATATAAGACTTAAGTTAGAATTTCTGGACATGGTTTTAATATGTACTTACCGTGGAACATGCATGGTAAATGATCATGGACACAGAAACTAAGCTCAGTGTAAAAATCAGTTCCGCGAGTATACACTTCGCTCGTTTCATAAAATCCAGCAACCATTGTAGTTAACATCAGGAACAAATTAGTTGGGTGGGGCCCAACAGCGACAATTGTCAAACGATGCCAAGTTCATTTGTGGCTCCAAATAACATATATTAAGGCACTAAAAGTACTCAATTGTTTCGTATTAACCAATTAATTAGGGCTTTATCAAATCCGACTTAAAAAAAATCCAAAAAACTCGTAGTGTGTAGGTGGTGATTGCGTCATTGAAAACAACTGTAGCATCAAATGTGGATGATACCGTGCAAATACGGTAAGCATAATTGAACATTCGCACGTATAACACATAAATATGATTATGGAATGTTAATAATATTGTCAATCATAAATTCTTTCCAACAATAAAAAAAAAAAAGCTTTATAACAACATCAACGTACTCACGTCAACACTAAGCGCCCCCTGGTAGCCAATTATGTCGTTAGCAAAACTGATATCGAGATGTAACATAATTTATATTATTATTTTATTTTTTATTTTTATTATTATTATCGTAGTTGTTATTTTCTTAAATTACATGTTAATTCGGCGAATTTATATTTGTTAAATTTTGCCGTTTACATTGTGAAAATTGCTTACTGCAATACAATATTTCCGATTTGCAGAAACGCAACGCCATTTTTGCTAATTCGATACATTTATTTGTAATCGATTAATCGATTACACATAAAAGTAACGCGATTAATTCGATATAATCGATAAATAAGTGAACAATTTATTGTTTTTTATGCAAACGAGTATAAAATTACTTGTTTATTTTGTTATTACATTTAAAATATGTTAATATATTATCGTATTTACGTTTTTACAACTTGTATTTTTTTTATCGCTAATTTAAAATGTTTATTTTTTTAAATTTATAAATTTAATTCTTATATTATCGAATGATAATTAAAATTTTTGAGGATTTTTAAACATAAATCATTTAATTATTACAAAACACTTTTTAAAATCATAGAAAATATGTCATATGTTTATTTTAGCTTCCTTAGTTTCTACATTAATTAATCATATATATTTTTTTCACGTAATAAATCTTACGATTACTTATCTAATATTTAAGCTTTAAGGAAAATTTAAATATTAAACATTATTGCTTGGATACATATTAATTTCCCTTCCTTAGTAAATTAGAAAGATAAAAACTTTTTAAGATAATGTGAAACCGAATCTTTAGTATTTAGTATCGCTGTAAAACGTTTATTCATTTTAAAATCATTTAACTAAGGAAGGGAAAAAAACATGAATTTATTTGACATATAATTAAACATTTCAGATTTGATAATACTGTAGACCTTTTTTATAATAAATTAAAAATAAAATGTCTCGTATTTTTACTTTACATTTTTTATATATGCTATTTTTGTCAATACTATCGATAGCGTTAAATACGACCTTGTTGAATGCCCTTAAAACTTCGTCAGGCTCGTTTATAAGGTCACAAATAAACAAGGTCATGAATAAGGTTACGTAGTTCAGACCGCTTTTCTCATTAATGCGACATTATTTTGCTTATATATATACTGATACCATTTTTACGTAACATTCTTAGTAATACGTTAGAAATGTTGTAACGGTTTAACATATTTTTTTCATCCTCGAATGTCGAACTGTTATCTTTATTTCACCTTTAGTAATGAAGATCCGTTTTTATTTAAAAAAAACTGACGTATTTTCAAAACAACTAACTTTACGAAGGAAATTGAATATGGTGTCCTCAATATTGTTTATTTTCATTGTGACGTCATGAAATCATTATCATTCTCAAAACTCACTTACGTTTAAACTAATACCAGGAACACAAACAAAACAAATAATAGAATGCCACTTATCCTGATATTAGACTGAAGGTCATCCGGATATATATATGGCCGGATATTCATAAACTTTGTTATCGTCTTGCTTAAAATTTATAATGCGACATTTATAAAATACTCATTAAAATAAATTTATAGATTTTTCATGACTCCACGCGCCGGGTTACAACTGTATATAGTATTCATATTTTTATAAATTAATAGCCTATATCCAATAAGAAATTATTTAATAAAAGTTAATTTGTTTACAATTTGTTTGGCAATGGTCCAAATGATTTTTATGCGGATCACGTGTCTTGATAAATAAGACCGGATACTTATATGCTACTGTACATTTCTACTTTCTATATTATGAAATAAATGCTTTAACAATATGTATAATGTGAATATATCTGATAAGTAATAAATTTGCTCCGAAACAGTTACTATTATAAGGTTAATCGAAATTTCCGCTACACTCCAGGCAAATGGCGACGTCCGGTATAAACGCTATATTCTGTTTTGGACAATAAACAAAAATGTTTAAACAATTGTGAAATATTTTTAAACGTTTAAAAATATTATATACACATAATTTAATCCTTTAAATAATTATTAATTAATATATAATAAATAAATTAAAATTTTTAAAAGATATTTTGAATAATAGAATATATATTATTTATTATAAAGCAAATTTTAAAGTATTGAAATATCTTGATTAAAGATTTTAGAATGTATATGTTACTTATAATAACTAGGGTAGGATAAATAAATCAATTAATAATTTCCTTTATAGCTAATGAGAAGAAAGGTCGTAAACATCAATGATGCAAGAAGCAGCTTTTTTAGAAATATCGCGATATGCCTATTTTATAAATAATGAATAAATGTTTATTATTCACTATTAAATTGGAATTTCGAAAAATTTTATTGCTTTTGAGAAAAATTAATTTTTTCTTATAAAATTAAAATTTTTTATGGATTAGCCAAAAAATAGAATTAAGTTAAAATTTATACTTTTATTAATTGAGTTATACTTTTATTAATATATCGGCTACTTATTATTATTATTTTAATTTAATAATTTTAGATTAATTTTAAAATTATTGCCGTTAGGTGGAGTTTTGTCGATACGGAACATGTGCTTCGTGTTGACCTTTTAAAAGGTAATATCAAGTTTAGAAAAAAAAATATAAATAAATTATATTTATTTATAATTCTCGGAATTTGGGGTGTCTCTAAATTATAAATTGACATTATTCATAAAGCATTCTAAGAAAATTATCTGTCTTTGATGTAACATTCAGTTCAACTTATAAAATTTCTTTCAAATAGTTTGAGTATGTAAGTAATAATTTAAAATATTTATTTCTCGTTTTTTCCAAAGTAATACTTATTTATTACCATGGAAATTGTAATATTTTAAATGCTTCAATAAAATTTAAACAAATATTTACAATTACAAAAAAAATACTTCTATGCATTTTAACTTTTTTTCAGGATTATATCATGACATTAAAAGATTCATCATGATTGCTAAAAAAATCATTATACAGTATTTGTTTTATTCAAGATGTATAAAGCAATTTTTGAGAAATTAAGGTACTTTTTGATTAACAGGATGCCAAAAGACTTTTTGATTTATAAAAAGGATTTATAAAGATATACTATATATTGGTATCTTTTGGTATACTATATATACCAAAAGATTTATAAAGCACTTTTTGAGAAATTAATGTACTTTTTGGTTAACAGGATGCCAAAAGACTATCCTATTTAACAATTTAATTCACATGACTGTGCCAGCATCAAGTAGCCACAGAAGTACTTGATGTTATATAGTTTTACGGGTATGTGGAGGCTCACCCCACCCAGGTGCTGAGGTGTGAGCGATAGCTCACACTAAGGCGCAAGGAATAGGCAGTAGACTGGATACATGTTAAAAGCTGTCCTTTGGAGACAAATACCACATGAAGGGTCAACAGTTCTGTGGGTGATATGAAACTCCTCATTTAGAGCTTGAATCTTACTCGTTGTTGTATATATCAGCTTGTGTCCCATTAATCGAAGAGTACCAAAATTATTACAAGGTTATTCAGAAAAAACAAATTATTAACAGAAACAAGATTTTCTAAAACAAAAAATATATAAAATGACAAATCCAGTTGCAATTGTTTGAACTAGTATTGGACTGAATATTCAGTCCTAAAGTAAGTATTTAGTATTTGGCCACCTGTCTTGGATATTCAGAGTAAATACATTTTCAAAGCTGAATTGTTTGACCAATTAATTTTAGTTGAGAAAGAAAGGAAAAATCCTTTCTTTCTCTCTCTCAAAAGATAATCAAACACAAAATAGAATGAAAAGAAAACTTAAAAAAACTCAGATTTTTAAAAAATGTTTATTATTTTCTGAAACAATTAAATAATTCAAGAGTGATAAATAAATTGTGATGAAGGAAGAGTAATAATCTTGTATTCATAGGAAGTGAGCAATTTTATTGGTGGTCATAAATACTTCCAGCTTCACTGAACATATTGTACATTCACTAAACAAGTTATGCCCGAAACATGTATTTTAAACACATATCAACTGAACTAAATAAAGATGACAGAATGCCAACTGTTTGAATTTATTACACTTCATAGTGTTTAAGAGTCAAAAAACATTTTGCTTTTGTTGTTTTGATATAAAATACTGAACATGGAATGTAAAATAGTAAGACAAAGTTTTTTCTTTAATTAATTAATTAATAAAAAGATACTCTATAAGTAAACAATTTTTATTATTGCAGGTAAAACTTACTTCACATAAAAATGCCTGTTGCAGAATTTATAACATCCCTTCAAGCCAATCCTTATTTTGGTGCAGGATTTGGCTTAGTGGGAGTTGGTGCTGGAATTGCAGGATTACGAAAAGCATATCAAGTAGCTTTAGTATTGTTTCGAAGACACTTTATAATGACTTTGGAAGTACCTTGTAGAGATAAAAGTTATCAGTGGTTACTACAGTGGATTTCACTAAATGCACAAAATTCTCAGCATATAAGTGTTGAAACAACGTTTAGTCAACTGGAGACAGGAAAAATCTCTACAAAATTTGATTTTGTTCCAAGTGTTGGAACACATTTTTTCAAGTAAGTGTTTTTATGATGATCAATTTACAAGATGTTTGTAATTGAAGTTTTAATATCAAACTTTCTGTAAGTATATATTTATGTATGCTTTCTAAAAGACTTACATAATCTTTTAAAATTTGTGAATTTATAAAACTGGCAGTGATGATGAAGAGACTCAATCAGAGACAAAATTATATCAAAAAAATCACCAGGTGAAAAACAACACTAATTAATCCAATTATTAAAATTGAAATGTTTTATTTCATGACAAAAACATTTCAAATAACAGAAGAAATCTTATGAAATGAAATCTTAAGAATATTATTTGTTATAAATACTCATAATATAATTTCAATACTCTTTCTAAGAAACCCCCAAACTACCATAAAATCTTAGGAGTGTATAAGCTTCCATTAAGAGATGAGAGGTTTGGGAGGAATCTAGTCTACATCAGTTTCACTAAAAGTCATTAGAACAGAGGATGCGGGAACATAAGTATTATATAAAGCATTCAAAAATCACCATTGCTCTATCTAGGTTTGCTTTCCAAGGCAAACCTAGTTAGAGGCAAAATTAACTCAGATCCTGTACAAATTAGAACCACATCAAGCTTTTAGAGTCCATTGAAATATTTAAAGCCAGCCCTAGCTCCAATTGCATAAACTTTAGTCTAAAGACAAGATAAGACTTTCTAAAGCAGTGTTTCTCAACTCTAATGAATCATCGCCCCCTTCAATAAAACTATTATGTAGTATCCCCCTTTACTTCAAAATTCTGATGCCGAGAGCCAAGGCTAATGCCAAATTCATACTGCATTGAATAGACTAGTGACTAGTATAATGTTATTTGTTTAATTATTGTATAATATAACGAATAAAATATCTAATTATTCTTAATATAATGTTTTACTATATCGCCCAGAAAATTGTTTTTCACCCCCAAAATATAAATTGTTACTAATCGCCCCCTCAACATGGAAAAATACCCACATGGGGGCGATATCGCCCCATTGAGAAACACTGGTCTAAAGCATGGAAAGTATGGTATGTAACATCGTTATAACATGGATAGATCAGCACATGTCTCTAACTGGCCTTTTTGAATTTGAATGCTACATGACTATTCTATTCAGTATATTCCAATTAGAAACAAACTATTTCAATATAAAGTTGAAATCAGGTGGATTCCGAAAACGTTTGTGATTTGTTTCATCTTCCACATTTTACTGGATGCTGAAGAGGTTTTGTGATTAGATGTTAATATGTTTCCAGTAATAGAGAAGTACATTTTTGTCTTTGTAAGAATGTTTTTGAATACAATTACTGGTTTTTATCTGTTAATGAATTCTAAAACTAAATTTTTTTCCTTATTTGAGTTTCTGAACATTGTGAAGGAATAAATGAAAATATTATACAAAAGCAACATTTGATTATGTAGAAGAAAAGATAGTAAAATGTTTCTGATTTTCGTTTCACTTGAAATATTCCATTTGAATATTGGCTTTTAACTGATGATACCCCAAATACTGAAGGCAAATATGCTTTTATTAAACTTTAAATTCTTTTTGTCTTTAAATTTTTATTTAAATATTGTTTTTACAGTAGAGTCCTGTACAATGCGCAAATAAAGCAAGCAACACCCTCAAATTTTGTCAATTAGAGGTATACATTTTTTTTTTTCAACTTTAAACTTTAAACCAATGTTTAAACTTTCATAAATCATGTAATAATGCAGGTTTCAATAACACGATTTACTATAATGCGTATAATGTAATGAATCCCCTGCGTTGTACGAGACTACTATATATGAAACTTTTTCATTTATGCATACTTTTAAATTAAGAAAACTTTTATTATGAATATTCTATACACAGTAAACCACATGATGAAAATACACTCATTGACAAAAAATTTACACACCCAAAAATAGAATTACCTAAGTCTACTGCTTAGACTTAGAAACTGAACTAATACATAAAAAAATAACTACAAAAGAATATTGCAAAGCAACTTACCAAACTGATTTATACCGTCTAACTCCAATGACTCCAGGAGATACAAAACTGCAGTTGTTAGGGCCCTTATAAACTGAGCATACACTTATTGCTCTCTCATGGTAGACACTAAACAAGAAATAAGAATTAGGGAAATCGCTTTCAAACATAATACAGTGCAAATTTTATTTCTAACCTAATTCAAGATATAAAAGCTAGATGAATAATAATGTAGAACAAAAAAAAAAAGGAGAGTCGTGAACTACAAGCCTAAGTTACATAACTTGTACACAAAAACAGTGGCTCACATAAACAAAAAAATAACCTATACACATTACCCTACTATATTTAAACTGCTAACTAATAGTAGTAAGGATGAAATGATTTATTTCATCCTTACTACAAAGGGCTCCTGGAGTCTATAGAATACCATTAGTGAACACAAGATTTAACACTCACTAATATAAGCTCCAAGGTAGATCATTCACTAGCAGAATTAAAAAACATGCATATATCTAAAAAGGGAGGTACTGTACTATACATAACTGTATTGGCCCAATTTGCAAGTGAGCCTGGGCTGTCCCCCAATGGGGAGAGGTGAAAATAATATAGAGAATTTATGGTGATCAAAAATAAGAACCATTGAAGGCATTAAAATTTATAAGCAGATATAAAAAGGGGATGTATTAATAACAAAGACACAATAAAATCTTCTGCAAGCATAGGAAATAATGCTTGGTATGCTTGCATGGATTGAATTTTACTTTTATTCTTCAAAAAATATGTTATAATTTTTAATTTTGAAATGTTTTAAAAAATTTTTTAAATTTTAATTTATATAATGTCACTGAAGTGTAGAATGCCTCATATTTCAACTGTTTGTTTGTTTGAATTTTTTAAAAACTTTGTTGATAAAAAACTTCTGTAAAAAAAAATTGAATGTACAAGCTCATTTAAAGAGTGTAAAAAAAATTATTGTAACTTGTAAGGACCACTAAAGCAGTCATAGATGTTTGTTTTTCTTTCATTTATCTAACATTTATTAAACGTCAGTGCTGAAAGTGACATGTAAAAGCATCTGCATATGTTAAATGTTATTAAATATTGTTATAGTTATCATTATCATTGTGTAAAAATTCAAAAGATTAAACAGCAGCAACATTCTTTTTTAATTTTTTAATTAATAATTTTGAAAATATCTGCAGAAAAATGTGGCTTGAAGTTCTGTATACTTAGACTAGCAGACTCTGCCACGTATTGTTGTGGCTCAAAATGTATCTGTTATAAATGTAAAACACTTCCCCCATGAGGGGAAATTTTTCGAAAAATTTCTTCTTACTGTACATTCTCTTGACGTACCCTATTAAAACACAATCAAAAACGCAAAAAACCGCATCTAAAATAGTATAAATAGAAGCAGAGTTCTTTACGGTAAGCCTTAATCCTAACCATCTCCCTTCAGTGGGGGGAATTTCGACATGTATATTATATAAAAACATGTGCATGTTCGAATGCAGAGTTGTGTCAAAATTTCAAAGGAATCGGTAGGAACAAACAAACATTACATTTTTTTTATGTAGATAGATAGATGATGATCTGCTTTAGTTCATTTTCACAGTAAAGCATAATTCCTCACAGAAAAGCAAACTTAGGGTGTTGTACTTGTAGCGCCATCTGTTGGACATAAAATCCTTAATTTAGATGATATCTTTTAATTTATATGAATGTTTAACGGAATAATATACAGCCTATGTCCATCCTGAAGTTCCATTCTAAATATTGGTGAAAGAATTTTTGAAATCGGATGAGTAGTTTCGGAGATTACCCGCTACATCCAAACTTACTTACTTACTTACATACTTACAAACATTACCTCTTTATAATATTAGTATAGATGATTATTGAGCTGTCTGAGTTCCAAGTACATTTTTCTATTTGAATAATAACATATACCTTATATATTTATTAAATTTATCATTAGATGTCAACCTAACTGCCTGCCTATAGCCAAACTGCTTTACATCTGATCATTAAATTACAAACTGCCAGATTATTAATTGGGCTATAATAGAGTTCTATTACAGTCTGATTAATAATCTGGCAGTTTGTTTGGCATTAATAAATGAATTGTTTGTTTACCTATTTTTTAAAACTAAAGTTATTTATCTTTATGAATAAAGTTTGAACATTTCACAATAAAAAATTCTGGTGAAATATTGATTATTCTTTGTAATATTAATATATATAAATGTATGTATATTATCAATAGGAATATTTAAAAGTTGATTTATTAACATGTTTCCACATAATAAATAATTTTTTTTTTTTTTTTTTATTAGGTATCGTAGTACATGGATAAGAGTAGAAAGAACGCGTGAACAACAAACTTTAGATTTACATATGGGTATACCTTGGGAGACAGTTACTTTAACTGCAATTGGAAAAAATAAAGGACTTTATTACAATATTTTAGATGAAGGTATGATGTGTATCATTAGAAGAATTGTTTAATTATAATTTCATTTTTAGGCAAAAAATGGAAATTTTTATGTTATAGATATGTTAAAACAATGCTTTTCAATTTTTATTGAATGATGGGACATTATTACATATAGAAAACTTTTGAAGCATTTTTCATATATTTCCATCTTTATTATAATTTTATAATATTCTAACACAATATCAGTTAAAAATAAAATTATAAATTTTCCAAGAAATTTTTAAAATTACATTGCAATAAGAAAGTCTTCAATTTTTCGATTGTTGCCATATCTAGTAATAATTTTTTTATAAGCTGTCACTATTCCTTTGTTAGTTACCAGACTGAATTAAATTATGCACTTTTAAGAGTGGATGAGGCTTAAAGAATGCCGATGTAAAATTAAACATTAAAGGTACATTGATTGATTCATCTGAATAAACTACAGTAACTAGTTTATCTTTATTAAATCATGATCACATTCCATTTTTTTCCACACAATTTCATCAATAAGGCAGTGTTTTTTTCACTGATTTTTCACACATAATTACACTGCAGATAATAGACAGTTTCTCAAATTTGACAATTCTGAAAAATCCTGTAATGTGTCTTCTCTACAAGTACAAACTTCATCGTCATACATATTTTAGGTTACAAGATATTATTTTGTTTACAGAACAATGTCTTTTACCCTTTTCCCCATAGGGAGCCTTTCAAACTTTTGATAGCATGGACTAATGTAAAACAAGTTCAGTGGATATAAATGATGAGAGGGCTTGAGATATTTCTCAGGAACAGAAAGTGATTTTCCTGTATTTTTTGGGCACAAAATGAAGCCATAAAAATATTTAAATTCTTGAATGTCGTAGGTCCCAAGCTAGCATATGGAGACAAAAATTCAAGATTATCTTTGCAGACCTCTATGTAATTACATCCTGCAGCTGACAAATAGCCATGACTACCTCTTGCAGCTATTGTTTGAGAACCTTCGTGACATTATTAAAAATGACATCAGGTCATCAAAAAATAATAGCAGATTGAAAAATCACCACCTTATGCATGTGATTGCATGACAATAATGAATAATTGCATGCAGTCACATGCCATAAGGCTGTGATTTTCCATGGCCCTTGGAATTGCTGATGGAGTTCGTGGCAAATAAAAATTAATTTGGGGTACATAGACATCGCCAAGGGGTCCATGAAAGGTGTAATAAAAAGTAAAATGATTGTGACTCATTTTCATTATTATGAAAGTTAAAAATAAATAGTAATAAATAAATTGATAGTCATTTTTATGTCTTGATGTAAATGATTGTTCTGTGATTAAAGTTATTGCTGGAACGAAAATACAAATTATATGTGTTTTTGATTTTACCATCAAATCTCAGGTTATTTATCCAAGAAAAATTGTTAATTAAAAATTCTCATATTATCAAAAACAATATTAAAAATAGAAAACAACCTGTTAATTGTGTTTTACTTAAAATTTACACATCGATTAAGTACTTAATAGTTATTTTTATGTTATAAATCTAATTTTATTTCATCTATTCACTTTTAATAATATTTTTATGTTGTAGATATAGTTTTTAATTTTAACTGTATTAAATTTAAATATAGAACAAATTACTTTATAATTAAAATATATAGTTCATTTATATAATTTTATTTTATAATCATTTATAGTTTTTAATATATGAATCATTTTATAATTCTAAATAACTAAAAATATATAAATAATTCATTTTATTTTCATCAAAAATATGTTTTTCTCTGAAAGTTCAATAAATAAAATAAAAAATTTATTAATTTTATATATTTGTAATGTAATTTATAACCCAATTAGAAATAAATTATACATTTTTTTTCCACTACAATATTACACCAGTTTATCAAAAACATGCAAGCTTTAGCCAGTAATTTTAATAAATATTACTTTAAATATCAAAATATTATATTTACTGTTTATTTTTACGTCACCATTCACCACTCAATTTCACTAAAATTGTAATTCACTAAATTCACTAAATTTGTAATTCTGCTATTATGTAGTTTTGTAGAGTTATTTCACTTGGGGGTTCATGGTCAGGTTATTGCTATGAGAAATGGTCTGTGGGCATAATAAGTTTGGGAACCATTGGCTTACCATGACATTTACAACATAATAATAATAATAATTTTCAAACTAAGCACAAAATTGCTTTAAAGAACTTCAGGCAAATGGCTAAAAAAGACTTTTTTAATTACTGGATTGAATATGTATTTTGGATGTTTTCATCCTAATAAGTTAGTTCTTTTACAGATATCTGGTAAATTGGAAAGTTTATTATTGTATTCTTCCGGTGTGTGTCGATTATTTATTTATAAATTGGAAAGTTTGTTATAGCCTTTGGATAATTATGTCAGATAGTATTATATGCTAGAAGTATAAAATTTAAGTATAATTCATTAAAAAAAGGGAGTTGTTTCTTTTCTTCAGATACGTGCATTTCTGTTTCGTGAAGTTTTAAACCATTTAGTAATAGATGCACTCATCATTAATATTCCTGTAATTAATAAAGTCTATTTTAACCATTTGTCTGAAGTCCCTGTGTGATAAGTTCTTTAAAGCAATTTTGTACTTAATTTCAATTATTACAGCTACAAAGCTATAAAGACTAATAGTAGTTTTAAAGGCAATCTTATGAAAAGTTGTTATAATACATACACAGTAGAGCATCGATCATTCGAATACTGATCAACCAAAAGTGTTCCAGTCGGAAAATTCAAATTTTTGCTAATGCTGTGGCATTGCAGCACTCTCCCCCTCCCTGCCAACCTAAACTGTAGGCCTAGTTTAATGTACTATATTATGTAAAATATGTATTTGTAAGATGTGTGAACAAAATATATTCAGTACAGTTTTGTGTTTAATATATTATTTTGGATAATTGATGCTCTATTGTATAAACATCTCTCAAAAACCAATGCATAAGTATAAAGTCACACCAAGTGCCATATAAGATCAGGGTATTTTCTAGTGCTTATAATTTTAATTACTAATTAATATGCCTTAGAGGGAGGCATTAGGCACCATATCATATTAACCGATGATGGTTATACTGTAGTTAAATATACCTGGAAGTGGAGATTGGATTGGAGGTCCAGATAGCATAATTGGCAGTGCATCCAAACAGCAAGGAGTTGCAGGTTCAAGTCTTGCTCTGGGCTGATTCTTTTCTTCCAGAATATTCTAAAATTACTTAATTAAATTTTAATTATTAAATTTAATATGAGGTGGCATTGAATGCCTCTCTCTAGGACAAATTAATTAGTAATTAAAATTGCCAAAAAATAGCTCAATCTTAAATGACAGTTAATTTGGCTTTATAGATGTTATAATTGTGAAGTCACAATAATGAATACCACAAATGAAACAATGAATCATACTTACACTAGAACTGCCAGACTGATCAGCTATGTACTATTCAGCCAGCTAATGTTGAATAATATTCATTTCATATTCTAGTGTTAAGTACTATTTTAATTAATTAATGAAGATGATGAAACTGGCCATAAGAAGTTCATTTGACATAACAAAAATTATTTTTAAATATATATATCATCATCAGCTTCAGCTATTTCTACCATTTCAAATTATGATGTAGTCTCACTTACATAATCATCCTCCATTTGTGCCCATGTTTGCCTATCATTTGCATCTCTCTACCATGTTGTGCCTGTTTGTTTCCCATCATAGATGTAAGATGTCATAGTCCCATCTTAAGTTTGGACATCCTTTCGGTTTCTTGATTCCCCATGGATACCACATTGTAATTCTCGTGGACCATCTGTTGTCAGTCCTTCTTGCCAGATGTTCTGCCCATTGCAGTTTGAGAGATTTAATTCTGTGGATCACATCAATTACCTAGGTTTTCTGCCTAATCCACTTTATTCTTTTATGATCTCTCTTGGTTATTCCTAGCATGCATTGCTCCATTGACCTTTGGGCAACTTGAAGTTTCACTGTTATCACTTTCTTTAGTGTCCAAGTTTCACATCCATAAGTCATGACTGGTAGTATGCATTGATTGAACGCTCTTTTCTTCAGGTGGATTGGCATTTTAGACCTGAAGATTTCAGAATTTTGTCCAAATGTAGACCATGCTAGTTTGATTCTCCTGTTGATTTCTGGAAGTAGTGAGTCATATTTGGGTATTACTTGTCCCAGGTATATATATTTAGCTGCTGTTTCTAGTGTGATGTCATTTATTGTTATGTCTTGATTGTCTACCAGTTCATTGTACATGAATTTCGTTTTTGCCAAGTTCATTTTAAGGCCAATTTCATTGCTTACTTTGTTTAAATCGCTGACTAGTTCTTGAAGTTCTGCAGGATTTTTAGCTATCAGGATGATATTGTCAGTGAATCTTAGATGGTTCAGGTGTTCTCCATCTATAGATATACCATTGTTCTTCCAGTCTATTTTACAGAATACATTTTTTAGGGTTGCCATGAAGACCTTGGGTGATATTGAGTCTTCTTGTCAAATGCTTTTGGTTGTGGAAAATTCTGGAGTGTCATCTTTAGCTTTTGCTTTTCTGTATATGTTGGCTAGAGTTTCTATGTATGGTTTGTCAATGCCTTGGTTGGTTAAAGCTGCTATTAATGCTCTGGGATATATGGAGTCAAAGGCCTTTTCAAAGTCAATGAAGCCATTGTTAGTGGTATTCGATATTCAATGGTACTATTGGGGAAATATATTTATTGGTACTATTGGTACTATCATGGGGACAAAACAAATAATCATGCTGGTAAACAAAAACACCAGGTCCACAAACAGAAACAAAATAATTCAACAAGTAACCAAGTTTTACAGTGAATTATACATAGCCCCAGAGATGCTTGGAGAAGAAGCACTTAACAATGAGAAAACTTCTGGGAGAAAACATCCCAGAAGTTCTTACAGAAGAAATAGAATTAGTGCTCAAAACTATGAAAAATGGTAAGGCAGTAATGACAGAATAACAGCTGAAATGTTGAAATATGCTGGCAGAAAGGCATGGAAAATCTTGGTGAATATATACACAGAATGCCTAAGATCATTGGAACAGTGAAAATATAATATTCATCCATAAGAAAGGCAACAAAAATGACATTAAAAAATATAGATTCATAAGTTTACTCCCAATTATAAACAAAATATTTACAAAGATTATCAACAACAGATTAATTAAATAACACATGAGATGCTGCACAACCATGGGAACAGGCTGGCTTTAGAAGTGGTTTCAGTACAATAGATCACATACAAACATTGAGAGAATTATTTAGTTGTATCAATATATTATACAGTGGTGCCTCATATAACGTACTTAATCCGTTCCAGGTGCACATCCGTTAAGGGAAAAGTCCGTTATATGAAACGCATTTTTCCATAGAAATACATGTTGAAACATATAATTCGTTCTGCAGCATAAAATAACCATATTGTACCATTAAAAAAATGAGAATGGAGCAGTCACCAATTATGCCAGGTAGTCAGATGTGAGGAGGAGGTGGAGGAACATTTTATTCACACATTCATACAGATACAGACTTTTTACACATTGCAGCAGGTCTCTTTTTATTGTTTTTTAATCGGAGTCATTCAGATTCAGGAGAGGCTACCAGAGCTTGCAGGGTCAACTCCTCTTGTTTCATCCTTTGTCTTTTGGCAGCTGGCTTCTTGAAAAACATGTCCAAGGTGGTCTGTTTCTCTCTCTTCTTCAACACCTGTCGGAAATGACGGGCAAGGGTGTCATTGTAGAGATCATTGATCCTGTTGGCCTCAGCTNTTGAACAGAAATTGTTCCCTGAGTTCTGGACCCTCTTGGTTTTTGTCCAGGGATTTTTACAGTTGTGTGCATTAATGGAATTTCCTTTCCATGAATATCATCCATATAGTCCTAAAGTTAACATATAATTGTAAGATGTTTTAAATTTATAAATTAACTATGCATTCTAATTTAAAACTAATACTTTAAGCTTAACAATAACAAAAAATATATTGACTGAATATCAAAGATTCTATATTGAAGATACTTGAACAAAGTTATAGGCATATAGTATAATGAACAAAGTAAAGAAGATAAGCATAATAGAATAATAATATAGTGTATGATAAAATGATTCCTGTAATTCAAAGCTATATATATATATATATATATATATAAACACACTACTAATTATTTTTATTAAATATCTATAAAATAATAAATGAGACAAATTGAAATTTGTGTTTAGAAATTTGAATATATTTGTACACTATTGTCTTTCAAAGTTAGAAGTAATAATCTGATTACTGGTATTTATATGATCTAGAACTAATTTAACCTGATTTATAAATATTTATTATTCAAAAGACATCTGTTATTCTATATCATTTACTTAAATTTATTTTAAATTTTTAAAGTAAAATGTAATATTCTATTAATAACAATTGTTTAACTTGGTAATTCATGATTATATAAAAGTTAATGATAAAGTTTACATGAATATAGCTGTTATTAGATTGTTATTTTTTAGTTATTTAAAACAATAATTAATAAATAAATAAATTGTTATTTGTGTATTTAAATTATGTGTTATTTAAGTAAAAATTTAAAATAAATTCAGCAATTACTTTAATGTGAAGCTAGGAAATTAGCAATAAAAAGAGAAGAAGGAAAGACAATTGTCTATACAGCTGCCGGATCTGAATGGAGACAGTTTGGACATCCTCGTAAACGTCGCCCACTATCTTCAGTTATTTTAGACAAAGGAATAAGTGAAAGAATATTTGAAGATGTTAAAGAATTTATTGGAAATCCCCAATGGTATACAGAAAGAGGTTTGTGATTAATGTAATTTTTACATTTTTAAATTAACATTAATTTTTATAATTAAAGAATGTGATTTTATAAATTAAAAATACATGCAAGAATAAATGGGAAGTCTTATTTTTTTAAACATTAATATTTTTGGAGATTCTGTATTTTCCATGTTCAGATAAATATATATTTTTTTTAAGTTATACAAAGTTAAAAATATTTTACTTGCTTTTTACAATAATCTATTATATAAATCTATACAACTGTTTTTTTTAAGAATTTTAAATTGTTTCAATAGTTTTGTAATTACTTGCAGGAATACCATATAGAAGAGGTTATCTGTTATATGGACCACCAGGTTGTGGAAAAAGTAGTTTCATGTGAGTTTAAAATTCCAGCAATTGTTATTCTAATCTAATAAAAGGCCATTTAAATGTTCTCCTGATAGAATAATAGTGATGTATCAAAACAGATAAATAATAATGATATAACAAACATATTTATATTATACTAGTAATTATTTTGGAGAGTCTGAATGTAGTTACTGATAATTTATGTAAGGTATGTTCAAGAAGTTCTAAGGAATGAGTCAAAAAATCAGTGTTAGAATATAAAGAAATTTATTTAATATTTTGTAAAATAATTACCTTGAGCTTTAATACACTTTCATCAACAATTTTTCTAGTTCAGGAAACATTTAGAAAAGTCAGTTTGTTATGTGAAATAAACAAAACTGTCTTTCAATCTTAAAATTCTTTTATGATTGTGAATTAGCACTTTATTGTTAATGGAATTATAACATTAAAGTACTTTTATAATGACAGGGATGATTTTACAACATTAGATAATACAGGCATTTATATGATCCCTTTACAAGCAATCAAGCACACTCTCAAGTTTACATTATGTAGATACATCAGAGGAATATTGTAAACAACAAATGTACTACAGAATTATCCAAAAATGTATTGGATCATACCTTTATGGGTCGAATCATCATTATTCAAACAATGTGTTGAGTGCAAATCTAGCTTCATTTGGGAATCATATTATACATTTCTGCATTAGAACTATGTAACAAACTTACTTTAGAAATCCTAAACATGTGGATCACCCTATTTAAACTTTTAAATGATTAGTACTATACCTTGCACCAAACATTTAAATTTATATTTTTCTTATATTTTTTATTCTTACTATGTTTTATTCCAAATTTTTGTAATTTACATTATCGATTATTTTTATCATTTTTTTTTTTTTTTTTCATTTTTAATATCTTTGATTTATAGTTACATCTAAATTTTGATATTTACAAATTTAATTGCACTCTTTTGGTCAAAACAAATTTTACAATGATATTTTTAAGATGTTCTATTAATAATTTATCTGAAGAAGAGTCTATGCCACATCAAAAGTATGTTTTTTATTTTTGTTAAAGTGATAATTCTATTAACATTAAAGTGCTAAACTCACCATCCTAAAGGAATTTTAATAGCGGAAAGACAGTTTTGTTTATTTCATATATAACTATTGGCATGAAGAATATAGTTTATTTAATGAAATCAATTTCTTTTGGGAGTTTCAAAATTCCCCTCAATTTGACCTTGTATGAGTTCTATTGAATCAAACTGCTTTTTTTTTACATTACTTTATGTAAAAAAAACCCATTCAAAGCTAGATCAGGGGGATAAGATGGGGTGGTTGCAAAAGAATAAAAGTCCCAACTTAAAAAGGAAAGTAATTTAAATCATTAGAAGAACTTGTACAAAACAAATTTAAGAAAATTTTGGATCTTTGAAAATTTATTTTTCTAAATTCTGCTGTATTGGGAAAACTTGTTGAATAAAGTTTGTTGAAGCTTGGAGGGATTATTTTAAAAATCATCAAATAAATGTCTTCATATCCTAAAGAATTTTGATTTTCTTTTACTTTGAACTTTTTGAGCACAGCTTATATTAACACATATTAAATATTAAGATATTAACTGTTGACATTTGATATTTACATCAGAAGAAAGTCAATGAATTAATTTCATTAATGTAATATTTAATTTTTCAAGATATATTATTTTGAATTTACAAAATTTTATAATTTTTTTATTATATTTTACTTTATTTATCAAATCTATCAAAGTTTGTTTTAATGGTGTAACAAATTATAAAAAGTACAAAACATTGAGTACTTTTGGGTTGTTTCATTCGTCATCAGGAAAACTGCCACAGTTACTGTGGAAGCATTAAGTAAACAAATTTTTAAAAGTAGTTTGAAGAATTTAGAAAATATAAATATATAAATTAAGAAAATTATAGTTTTACAGAAATTTCTGTTTGTTATTGTTTACATAATGTTTACATAGTAATTAAATCTCACATTTGAAAAAAAGAGTTTCCTGTTTTCATTATTTAAATAACTCAAAAGCATTCAAGATTTTTGTATTTTATTTAATTTGTTACTCCATTAATGCATTTTGTTGAATTTGATATACTTCGAAGTGGTAAACTTTACTCAATTTATTATGATTTTACTATTTGAAATTTGCATACATAAGCTACCTGCATTTTAATTATTTATAAATTTGTTGTTTATTAATAAGAAAAATAGCCTGAAATGAAATCAAATATCAGGGTTCCTACGCACCTGGAAAGTCAGGGAAAATCAGGGAAAGTCAGGGATTTTCATTATTTTTTGAAAAAGTCAGGGAAAGTCAGGGAATTTGTCAAAAATTGTCAAAAAGTCANTTGAATATGTTACTATTATATGAAAACTTCAAATATTTAATATATATATCAAATATTCAAATTTTTCATTTATTATTGATCTGTTTAATATCTGCTTTATGAATTTTTATGCACATGCATTTTTGTTACACACATGCATGCACATGTCAAACATATGTAAATCAGAACATATGTACTCAAAAATTATTAAATCAGAAACAAGAAATTGTCTAGATCTGGTAGCTTTTATTATAGAGGCCTGGTCCTAGAAGACAGTAATGCCTTGTTGTTTAGCATAAGTGGCAAGGACTGTACTGTCAACAGTTTTGTTCACAGAAAGCTTATGCTCATTGATTCTTTTTTCAAATTCCTCAAAGTTGCGCCTATATATACTAAGTTAGAGTTGAACCTATGGTCTCTTAGCAGTATTGAGTATATTCCTGTTAAGGAGTTACGTTCATAATGCCCCTTGTCATTCCTTAATATCCTGTATTTAGTGGGATTACGTCGATAAACTATTTGTAAGTTCTTATTTTGGAAACCCTCTTGATAATCGGTTTAAGGAAGGGTTCACTTTTTCTTTTTGATGGTTTTGCTTTTGCCTACTTGCCAGATTATTATCTTTCTTAATGAGAGCTTCTATTCTTTTTCTCCCGTAGCCATGCTGTATGGCAGTTCTTCGTATATATCGTAATTCCTTAACAGTATCGCAAACGTTTGTGCAATGCGTGTGTGCTCTTCTTATCCAAGATTGAAATATCGCCATTTTAATATGATCCAGATCTGCTGAATTCTTAGGGATAATGATGGGGATAGATGTCAGTTTACGATAAATATTGGTTCGGACTTCCCCTTTTATGCATGTTATAGTCAGATCCAAGAAATTGACGCTACTATACCTTATTGCTCCAATTCCAAGGTTAAACCATATGGGTTACTGTTTATCAGATCCATAAAATGCTTGATGTTGTGATTATCCTTCCACAAGATAAAGACATCATTAACATATCTTGCATATGTTAATGATGTCTTTATCTTGCTCCCTTCCTTACAGCAAGATATACCAATATATCTTGCTGTAAGGAAGGGAGGATACTGTTTTCTAGATTACGGAGTACCAACTCGCAGAGGACCGACGACATGGGGCTACCCATCGGTACTCCCCGCCCCTGTAGATACGTTTTATTTTTGAATTCAAAGAAAGATGTGTGACAAATCAAATCTGCTAATTCTAAAATCTGCGTGTGGTATTTGATAGTGTTATTAACATTAGCAAATAAAAAATCTCTCAGGGCACAAAAGCATGGAGGCAGTTTGATTGATGGTTATAACACCTTATAATCTAAAACTGTCATCCATTTCTCATTTATGAGTGCAATATTTTCCAGTTTCAGAATCAAGTCCACCGAGTTTTTTTATCAAAAAACTTGGTGGACTTGATTCTGAAACTGTTTTTTTTATCAAAAAAGGCAAAACCTGCATCTTTCTTTGTATAAATTTAACAAGTTGTTTTTCTATTCTGAAGGTTGGAGATTACATTTTTCTACCACAGGGCGTAACTGCGAACCAGGTTTGAGTTTTCCTGAGGGCAAAAATTCTTGGTGTCCTGGGAACTTGTAAAGTAGCAGTCCTCATATCCAGATAATTGGCTAAAGGAGTTAGGGTAAATTTTCTCACTCTGTTGTAATGTTTCCAGGTAATTACTCGGGGCAGGAAGACATTTGGTGCTATTGACGTACTTATGCAGCTTTTCTCTATATGAGCTTCTTTTGATTTATCCGCTTTTATGAGAACAACGTCGTTTTTTTGGAGCCATTCTTTCATCTCTTTAATGTGCCTTTGGAAGAGTAAAGCAGTTTTGTTGGAATACCGCTCCTTCTCGGCATATAATCTTGTTTTCCTTCTGCAATAATCCTGTTTAGTTAAATTCATATGCTTTATGAGTATCTTAACGTTCGGTATGAGGCTTTTTGGATGCAACAATAGTGTCGGTGCAAAGGAAGGGCCATATTCCAAGGTGTTTATCAAGCATTGGGGAGGAACAATGTTGTCCCAAGTTGTTAAAAATGCTTCTTTTTTCACCCGCGGTTTAATATTCTGGCATCTAAACAGCCATTTTAGCTTTTTAATGTATGTGCGTTTCAATCTCTTTTCCAAAGAATGTTCCAAAGCAATCACTCTACTGTTAACCTCTTCTAGAATAGCTTGCTCTTCTTCATACAGATCATTTTCAAATTTTATGATACCACGCAGTATTCCATAAAAATTCCATAAAATAAAAATAAAAGTATATTCTAATGGCCTTGTTGAAGGCCATTAGAATGGCAAACTTTGAGGAATTTGAAAAAAAGAATCAATGAGCATAAGCTTTCTGTGAACAAAACTGTTGACAGTACAGTCCTTGCCACTTATGCTAAACAACAAGGCATTACTGTCTTCTAGGACCAGGCCTCTATAATAAAAGCTACCAGATCTAGACACGCGGTAAAGTATCTCGAAAAGCTGGAAATCCACAGGGCACAAAAGAGCACACAGTGTATCCACTATAGGGATGTCGACGGGCTTTCGTCTGCTTGGAGATCTTTTTGCGACAAATTGACATAGATCTATATAAAAGGCTTAATCGGGCTTAGGATGATCTTTGATAGATATTTTATTTATTTGTTTATTTTTATTATTATTTATTAAACACACCAAAATTTGTATGTATTATTTTTCGTTTATAGCATGTTACCTTTTAATTTTTTACATAACCGTTTATTTGAAATTCGATTGCGTAAGTTTTCGAATTTCCCATTTCGAATTAGAGAAATAACTGATGATGAACGCTTAATGCGTTTGAAAACGTTTTTATGTTATTAAAGAATTATGCTGGATAGTTGAATGGTTTTTATTTTTAATTTTTATTGAATTCTCCAGTAAGCAAGTATACATTTATTTCTTAAAGTGTATATCAAAAAAGGAGATTCGTTGTCCAGAATTCATCTTGGAAAAATCTATAATATAGTGATAGACAGCTTGCTAATCATTTGTTACAAAAACTTTTACCATATAAGCGTTAAATTACACACGTATGTAACTAAATTGACAAGCGCTTTCGACAATACACATTTTCGTCTTCTTCAGGTCATTAGAAGATATAAGAACCTTTTTTTGAATACAAAATTTTAAAACATTCCAATCTTAATTAACATTTTGGAATAACAGCAACAGTAGAATAAAAAAAATAAGATATTTAAATAAAAAATACGCGCGTTTATACTGTGCATGCGTTAGACGGCTCTATATTGTGGTTTTAGTTGTGATGTTTTATATAACTGTACAAACTGATCCACAAAGGGGGCAAATTATATGGTAAAAGTTTTTGTAACAAATGATTAGTGTGCTGTCTATAACTTAAAGTGTATAGTTTTATAAATTTGTAACAAGTTTATATTATGTTTTTAAGGTGTTCTGAAAATTATATTAAAGAATTAGATGTTGATTTAAGATTATAATTCTATAGTTTTTAATATGACACATGTCATATTAAAAACTTGTCTGTCATTGAAATTTCCATAAATATAAGGAGAAAGATTATTAAAATATAATAAATAATTTTTTATACCTATAGATCAATGAAATATTTTTCTTTGAATGAAATTAAATCTGCTATTTTAATTGTATTCTAGTTTTTGATAACATAATCTTGGACTAATATTAAAATAAAATTTTAAAATACTAGCTATGTGTATCCAGCATTTCTTGGTCTTTTGAAGGGAGGGATTGATCGGGTTGAGAGATGATGATAAAAATATTGTATTAAATGTATACAGTAGACCCCCTATAACATGGGTTCATATAATGCGGATTCATATATTGCGGCGAAAAAATTGCGACTGTATTCGTATAAAGACGCTAAAAGAGACTTGTAAAATGTGATAAAACGTCATTGCTGACTCGTGTCGCGACAGGATTGGTTGAATCTGGACCAATAGTGGACGAGCAGCCAAACTACTTATACGCTACGGAGAGTTTAGGCGGATAAGTTGAGTTTACTATCATCTGTACAGTATATAGGCCTAAATCAGGTACTGTAAGTCTAATACAGTACTGTAATTTTATACCTTTCTTGTGAAAGAAACATTTCTTATTCAACGGTCATAAAAATTATTTCTATTAATGATGTCTCCAAAGTTCTATGAATTTTTCACAGAAAAATAACTTATCAGAAAACGCAGCCTCCGTTTGGTGCGCTGCTCTGCGACTAAAACAAGCTTAAGCAATGGTGTGGTCGAACGGTGCACACTCGATAAGTAATCCTACAATTTTTTGTTTATAGCATAGTTTATACAGATTATTCCCAAAAAATTATACATGTTTTGGAAATGTCGAGTGAAATTAGTCTAGAATCAATTAATTTTATGGAAGAAAACCTTTCAAACAGCTGTAGTTTGTAAACTGCACACGTGCTGGGCTGTGATTGGCTCATGTATTTGAGAATATAAGAATTTCGCGTTGTAGGAATCCTCAAATACATGAGCCAATCACAGCCCAGCACGTGTGCAGTTTACAAACTACAGCTGTTTGAAAGGTTTTCTTCCATAAAATTAATCGATTCTAGACTAATTTCACTCGACATTTCCAAAACATGTATAATTTTTTGGGAATAATCTGTATAAACTATGCTATAAACAAAAGATTCCTACAACGCGAAATTCTTATAAAGCAGAACGTATCTACCGCGTTATAGGGGGTCGACTGTATATATATTGAGTATTTAAAATAATGAAATTGCAAAACAAAAAATTGCTCAGACTTAAATTAAGAGAGTGTGGGCTTTAGGGGTGGTTGGGATGGTGAACCCAATAGTATTTTGTATAGAGTGTCAAAGAATATTCTTACCAAATTTGGTGTGGCTACATTGAACAGTATAGAAGTCTTTACGTAATATACATACAAACAACATATTTTGACTGTTATACAGATTGTAAATTTAGTTTTATGAGAATTTGAAAACTTAAAAATTAAAATTCAAAATATTTTATCTGTGATTTTGAAATATAAAAATTTTTTCAATAGAAAAACATTTTAAGTAATTTATTTTATTTCTTTTAATAAATTATTTTATGATTTAGTACAGCATTGGCAGGAGAACTTGAATATAGCATATGTGTACTTAATTTGAGTGAAAGAGGACTTTCTGATGACAGACTTAATCATTTAATGAATATAGCTCCTCAGCAATCTCTTATTCTGCTCGAGGATATAGATGCTGCTTTTATTAGTCGTGAAGAATCAAGTAAAGGTAAAAAATAAATTTTTTTTATATAAAGTATTAAAAATACATTAGTTCAAAATATTTTTGTGTATTTAAGTTTGATGATCTTCAATAATAAATCCTGTTGAAAAACATAAACATGCATACAGAATTAAGATTTAAATCTAGCAAAAATGTACTAAACAAATTCTGTCAATCTGACAGCAGAATTAAATTAAAGAATTAAAATCATACCAAAATTTAGTGCAAAATTTTATTGCTATCAGATCTAATTAGAAATTTAACAAAACTTTATCCTGTTATGTTTAGATTTATATTTATAATAAATTTATATACTATTTATAGTCAATGTGTTGTATTTTGGAAATATAATATGTATATGTATGTCAGTGGCTTGCCATTATGGAAGCTGTAGAAATGCAGTTTTTCCTTGTATTTTCTAAAATGTAAATACATATTGTGGGATTATTTTCATATTTTAACATACTTTGAATTAATTAAAATTAGTATTTTATTATAACCACATTATGTATCTTATTACAAATTTCTATACTACATGTGAAAAAAAATGATAAGATTGCTATTGTATATTTGAATACAAATTCGTATATGCATATTCCCAATGGAAGCACTATATTGTTGAATACAGGACAGCTTCTACAGCAAAAATATTTGAATGGTGTAAAACATCCAGATTATATGTATTTGCGCATGCACTTTACAGAGCACCAATCTCATGCAATTTAGTTCATGGATGCAACACACCAAAATATCATATAATGCTTTGAATGATTCTATCCAGGGCCAGCTCAGCTTCCCTAACATTAAATGTCACCGCATGCACTGATGTATGTGTATAATATATATACACATACAATCAATTTGCTTAACTCCCTTAGTTAAGCAAAAAAGGAAAAAATAATATATGTTTAGAATAATCATTATTTTATATGTCATTAGATAAAAACTATGCTTGTAATAATAAATTCTAAAATGTTTATTTAAATTTAAATTTTAAAAGGAATTTTTAAAAAAAATGTATATTATTTTATCAACAATCTCTACTTTTTGTTTTGTGAAGTTAATCAGTTTGGCAAATGAGTGTCTCATACAAATCTCTATTATAATGAATCATTGTATAAATATGAATTTTAAGTTCTTGCATATACAGGTATACCTCGCCTTACGTAGGTAATTGGTTCCAGAAGAGACGACGTAAGTCAAATTTACTTGTCTCCGAATCTACTTGTCACTAGGCTAAATCATAAATTACCATTCCCAGTTCTGTATTTTATTTATTAATGCATTTCTAATAATATATGGTTAATAAGGATGTAAATGTATATATTTTAATATGATTTTATGTGCTTTAAATGCTTTTCTACTGATACTACGACTTCAATATTTGTGGCGGACAGATGTAAAGTCGAATAAAATGACTTAAACTTGATTTTTATTTTTCCATATACTTTTCTGACAAACGATGTATAATTGGGAACGACGTAAGTCAAAACGACATAAGTCGAGGTATACCTGTAGTGTAAGATGCTATATGCAAGAACATAAATGTCTTAGGGTATATCATATGGAGCAGCATCCAGTAACCATGGACATGAACGTGCTACCAAGCAAAGTGGACAAACCAATACAGTACAAGTCTGGAGTAACCATGTTAAGCATGCAGCAACTGCACACTGGGATGTATAAAATAAATATGATACATATTTATTTTATACAAATAAGATGAGTTGTCTTTTATTTCGTGATATATGGTCAAATTCATTGAACTCATAACATTTCTTATAAATAGTGTGTGTGTTTTGCTTACAAGTTTTGGTAATACAATGTAGAAAACTGTTTTCCATGGCATTCATCAAGCATTTGAAGTTGTCTTGCCATGATTTTGTGAACAACACATGTCCATTTTGGACAGAGGTCACTCACAAGCTGAAAGCACTTAAAAGATTTTTTGCTCATGGTTGCTGGACACTGACACATAGGATATACACTTACACACACATCTTTGTTAACAAGATACTTTAAAATATTGCAATCGAATGATGCCATATTACACTAGAACATAAATTGTTGATATGAGAAACCTTCATTATTTGAAAATTCAAGAGACAAAATAAGCACAACTTTGAATTATCCAAGATTTACATATTTCTGTACGTACAATATGCCAAATGCCATGTTAATGATGTAATTTATTAAGCAAACAGAATACAGCTATGTATATAGAACATTACTTTCATTAATTAATAACTAAATAATATAAATAAACTATAGATAAACAACACATGTCATATGATGTTCAACCTCACAGGTTGCCAGATAGGTTCTATAAAACATAAAGCAGAATTGTCAAAATATAGTCAAAATTATTTTTAAATTTATCCAGAAAGTAGGTTTCCCAAATCTAGTAACATAGAGCCCTATAAATATCTCAATTTGCTACTTGTAGTCCAGTCTCGAAACCCTGAAACTCTGCCACATTTTATGAGATAAGAGATAGGGTAGTCAATGGGTAAGGTAACACCAGAAAATGTGTTACTGTAAAAGCAAAGATATGTTGACCAGATTAGAGTTGTTCATGATCTATTATTCTCTTATAGTATGGAGGTATGTAATCTTTGATCTAAATATACAAGTTAACATAAACACATTACAGTTTGGACAGAATTATCACTTCAAATTTCAAAGTAGCCCTATTTCAAACTAACAAAATTTCTTAACATGTAAATTCCATCCAACAAATAAGTTAATACAGTTATAAATTAACAGGATTTTGAATTATCCTAGTTTGAATTAATGAGGATTTTCTGTATTGCATTTGGTTACATTCCATTGATAAATGTTATAGTGTACTGTACAAGAACTTAAATATGCCTTAAGATTATAATTATAAATTTATTCAAGTTAATACAGTACAATTACAAGATAAAGTTTAGATAATTATTGAATTTATATTTATTAGAAATAGTTAGCTAAGTGATTTTCAGGAATCACAACCTATTGGAGGAAATATTGATAAGCTGCATATATGTATATTGTAAATAGTACAAGTTAACAGTTTTGTATAATGACCATGTAGATGTAGTCTGTAAATGTTTTTATGAAATTTGTAAAATAACCATAATATGCCTATTTCATTTAGTTTTGCATGTAAAAAGTTTTTCTGAGAGTCAGTGGTACTTGCCTGACTCTTTATACACTATTTATTTCTTTATTTAGTTTTAACCGTTATCTCTCAAGTTTATAGTTAGTAAATGTTTAAGTGCTTCTTACACTATATAGTGGGACAGTAACAAGTGTAGCAGTTCATGGCGTCACAAGTGTATTTCTTTCCAGTAAATTTTTCATTTAATCATGTGGTATAGATATAATCAGTATTATAAATATTAGCATATTAATATTTATTGGATATTAAAATCAAAGCATTTTTCATACAATCAATAATTAATTTATTTTAATCATATTTAATTTAGTTTATACTTTTCTAGTCAATATAGCATATGAAGGATTGAGTCATGTAACACTCAGTGGTTTGCTAAACATGTTAGATGGAGTTGCTTCATCTGAAGCAAGAATAGTATGCATGACAACAAATTTTATTGACAGGTAAGTATAGGATAAATTACTTTTTCTTTAAATAACAGAAAAATTAAATTTTAAACTTTTTATACAAAGACTTGATCCTGCATTGATACGACCTGGCCGCGTAGACGTCAAAGAATACATTGGGTTTGCATCAGCTCATCAGTTACGGTTAATGTTTGAGAGATTTTATCCATATGAGAGTAAAGAAAGTGCTGATAAGTTTGTTTCAACAGCATTACAGACTAATAAAGACATTAGCATGGCCATGGTACAGGGATTTTTTATGTTTTATAAAAATGATCCTAAAAATGTAATCAGTAATATTGAAAAGATATGGACTTTATGACACTGAAGAAAATAAATTATTCAAATTAAAAGTTAATATAAATTGTAAATAAAGCTATATACTGTAATGCATCACAAGAGCTATGATTTTTATAAAATTTTATAGTTACACACAGTGTGGGCCGAAGGTAAATTTTTAGAATAAGTTAAAGTAAAAACGTTTAAAATACATAAAAGATTTCATAAATATAAAAATAGGAAAATACTTGCATTTAATAGACATTTAAAAGTAAAATTCTTTAATATTTGCCAATTTATATCGACTGTTAAGTTTTAGAAATGTAGTCCAAAAGCATTAGAACTTGAGGATTAATGTAAGTCTGAAAGCACTACTTGTTTTTCAAACTACATTAAGGCAAATATTTTTCTGTTTTTAAAGGCGTTTAAGCACTGTTTACCTAAAAATAATTAAATTCTTTAGTGTTTTTTTATTTCGTTTTCTGATACTTATTACAATACCTTTTAACTGAATTGAGTTTTAAAATTAATTTATCATAAAATTTTGCCTTGACAATTCTATAAATTAGTCCTACCATAAATAGGAAATCTTCCAATTATTATGTTTCATCAAGGTCACATTCTATGTGGTTAAATGTGTAAATATTTTCTCAAGGTACTTTTGGCTCATTCTGTATATATAACTTATAATAGTACTGTACTTCAGTACAGTCGACCCCCCTATAACACGGTAGATACGTTCCGTTTTTTATGAAATTGATGTTTTAGGAGATCTTGCCAATCACAGCCCGACATGTGTGAAGTTTACGGACTACGGCTGTTTGAAAGGTTTTCTTCCATAAAATTAATCGATTCCTAGACTAATTCGACTCAATATTTCCAAAATACGTATAATTTTTTGGGAATAATTCGTATAAACTATGCTATAAACAAAAAATTGTAGGATTACTTACCGAGTGTGCACCGTTCGACTATGCCGTTGCTTACGCTTGTTTTCGTCGCGGAGCAGCGCACCAAACGGTGCCGCGTTTTCTGATAAATTATTTTTCTGCGAAAACTTCATTGAACTTTGGAGACATCATTAATATAAATAATTTTTATGGACGTTGAATAAGAAGTGTTTCTTTCACAAGAAATGTATAAAATTAGTGCTGTATTAGACTTACGGTACCTAATTTACATACTGTGCAGACGATAATAAACTCAACTTACTAGCCTAAAATCTCCGTAGCGTGTTGCCAGGCGGCAGAAAGCATATATATAATTATAATAAAGTTACAATAAATTAAGTTAATATATAATTATATATACAGTACCTAATTTATATATAATTA